GGTTAGAGTTTGAGATCCTGCGAGAGATCGTATAGATCTTTCCACTTCTGTACTTTTTTATTTGGATATTCCTACTGACTCACTTACACAGATCTACTCTCTATATCATCACCACACGCATTCATGCACTCGATACGTGGCATGTCCAAAATATGTCATATTTTGCCGTATATCACACAGCATTTTTAATTTTATATAAATTTTGTAAATCACATAGCTAGTGTACATACATGTCAAAGAGTGAAATCTCAGTTCAAGTACGACATCGCAGAATCGTGACGAAAAAAAATTTAACGACGTACACAATCAATACTTAATAATTATATTTTGTAGATATAACCCAAGATCAAACTTATATTCATGTGAACAACCCAATACACTAATAAAATTTGAATTACAACTAGTAGAGTAGTAGCAAAATCATGTTATACATACAACCTAATAATTATTCTATACTAGCATGGTGTAAGTAAGGGATATTTTTGCATTATTAAACTCGGCGTGTAAAACGTTGTGGGTCCATCGTATATCTTGAAATCATAATGTCACATAAAAATTATACAGCTTCTCGCATTGGACATTAAATTATTAAAGAACAAAATAGATAGAAAAACTATTGCAATCAATTGTTTACATGAAATATAATGATATGCATGGACTAGTTTTAAATCTAAACACATGCCGTGTCTTTAGGTTGTAATAGGTACAAGACACATATTTAACCAAACTTTCTGTTTGAGATCTAAGATAAGACGTTTATCTAGAATTTGTATGTATATATATGTACTTTGACTACATACACTTGACCTATAAATGGGATTACTATTACTTTGATGGTTATAATTCTTTTTATGAAGTTAACTTTTCTATATATGCAACTTTGATGTGTTATTGTTGAAACCATATCACTCAAACGTCTTTAGATGGGAGACCGATGGTACGAGACACCATTTGCTTATTTAAATTGTTGACTTGTGACCCTCGCTAATTCAGTCTCACTACGCTTCAAAACTTTAGAGTTTCATTCCACCAATATCGTTTACGTTAATAGTATGAGCATACAACACTCCACGCTTTTGATCAAGTTCAATTTAACGCATGTCACACTATATCCTCGGTAATTGCTACTTTCAAAAACTACAAATGTCGACCGATTTTTACATATCATCATAACACTAAAAATCAGTTTTTAACAGATCATTCTTCTTTGTAACTACTCTCGATAACTAAATTTAGCTTGAATTTTTCTTATTTTACCTCCCATTATTATTATAAATCAAATGCGTTTTCTTTATAAAATCTTAGTGATAACCATATATGTACCCAAAAAAAAAACTTTTAAGATGCATCAATAATTCCCATATATAAAACAGAACATGAATTTAGTTTTATCTTCTTCTCGTATTTAATTATTTCTTACATTAATCAATAGAAAAAAATTGGTGAACCACATGCGATCTAGTTGTACATACATACAAATACAACTATTGAAGTAACTTATCATCCCTTCCCTAGTAGTAATAGTACTATATTTTACTAAATACGGAAATTTCGTCCATTCTCCTTCCCATATTTATATTTTACCTTACTCTTTATCTCCATTTTTTTATTGTCCTTTCCATGTCAAAAAAGTAACTCTGTTTTCTTTTTTTTTTTGGCAACAAGTAACTCTGTTCTCTAAATGCGACATTCTAACTACTTTACGTGTGTATACGTGTATGTATAGACACAAACACATATAACAAACTCTTATCAACCTCACTTCTTCTCCAACAAGTTTTGTACATCCACCACTCAAACAAAAAAAGACCCAACAACAACCCAAAAAAAAAAACACATACACAATTATAATTATGGATCTTGAATTATTACAAGATCTGTCTAAATTCGATTTACCGATCAAGATCCGAACAAAAAGCTCATCAAGAAACAATAACCTCGATGGCGATGTAGACGACGATGGTCTCAGCTGCAACACACCTACATCTAAAGAACACAAGATTCCCTCCGTCGCGGATTCTCCACCTCCTCCGCCGCGAAAACCTCGTCCACCACCGTCAACACCGTCGGCTACGGCGGCTCTGATGATCAGATCGTGCAAGAGGAAGCTTTTAGTGTCGACTTGTGAGATTATCATGAATCGGGAAGAGATTGACCGTTTTTTCTCCTCCGTTTATAATGAATCATCGACGAGGACGGCGAAACGACGGAGAAGTTATCCTTATTGTGCGCGAAGCTGAGCCTTTAGTTTTCAAGATTTACATTTTTACTGTTTTTACTGGAAATATTGTGGAATTATGTTATAGTAGTATAGATTAAAAATTTATTATAAGTTTTTTGGTGTTCGGTTTTAGAATTTTTTTTTTTATTTTGATAATGGATGGATAATTTTCTGCAACCGCTTATTAATTTCGCATGGAGGGGTCGATGATGTAAATTGCATAATAAATGAAAATTTAATTTCAATTGCCAAGTTTTCTGATAATAATTGGGATATTTATGTCATTTATAAGAGACAAGATCGATTTATCATATCATTCAAAGTCATTGAAAAAACAAATAGTTTCACTTTTTTTTATAAGTGTATAGTTCAAAGTATTTTTTTTATCCATTGATACAATATGGACAGCATTGCTTCATGAGCAATCGGTGGTACATGTTCTCTTTAAATATGAAATTACATTTATATATGTATAAGAAGATGATGGCTATCAAATAAAATAAATTTCATACAAGTTGATATTTAGACTCCATTTTTTTTTATTAATTTACACAAGTTGATGTTTTAGAAATATAAATTTTAAACAAATTTCAAAGTAATGTTTTCATATGGTTTCATTCATGTCAATTTCAACGAAGGTTAAATGAACCTTTTTTTTACTGCAAAGATGTCAATTTTGAAATTTAACTGCGAATATGTCAATTTTAGCATTAATGATGGTAACTAATTTTGTTATCAAAAATGCTAATGGCGTTTAAAAGTTTTTAGGTGTTAATTTGGTAGAAGATGCATCAGTTGCGTGTCCTACGTGTAATTGTGAAAGCAACAACGCAGAGAAAATGACGCCTTGATGCACACATATATTTTAAATCAATTAATCTTTTAATTGCTCAGTACAAAAGGCATGCACATGTATAATTAACTCAGGTATATACATATAATATTATAATCAAATTTATTGATCTGAAATTCATGTTTGTTTCTGACATTTTTTGACCGGCCGGTAAAGCGATGGGTGCAACTTTGGGATCTGTACGTAGTATCAACTTTGTGATGATATTTATCACTTTATACAAGTACTAAAGATTTCAAAGTTCGAAGTTGATACTCATCGTTTAATTCTTTACTATCTCCAAAATCATCACATTGTATTTTACTTAAGACATTTTAAATGAATTTAGTTAACTTGTGTTGACCAAAAAAAGAAAAAGTTAACAAAGCTTGTCGTAGTGCTTCTCTCATCGCCGTGGCTTCCGCCATCAGAGGCGATTCGATTCGAATCTCACTCTTGGAGCATGTTGCAATGATTCGGTCATGCGGATCCTTTATGATCTTCTTCCGAATGACTAATAAACTTCAATAACTGATCTTCCTCCGAATTGCAGTTATCAATGTAAAATTCACTGTAATACTAGAATATTTAGTGAATTTGCTTTATATAGTCTCGACTTTTTTCCTGTATGATTCATTTTAGTTTTTTTTTTTTGTGTTTTCGGTTCTATTTAGTACTAGTACAAATGATACACTAAATTAATATAGTAAGCCAAAGCTAGTATTGGTGTTTTCTATGCATGGAACTAGTTATTTTAAATTATCGTCCTTAACCAATATTTTAAATTTGACAAAAAAACCTATATTTAAATTAGCCAAAATACAGTAAAATTACTCATCAATAAAGTAAATACACAATTATACAAGAACTAGTGGTAGTCTTTACTCTTTAGTAAATTGCATCGTTTACATATTGAAATTATAATTTTTATGCGTGTAAAATGTGTCTCTTTCAACAACTAGTAATTTTTTTATTGAGCAGCAACAAATTAAATTTCTTTCGCTGGCGGATAGATAGAAGAAGATTATTCACTAGACAGATAAAATTAAATGGGAATTAAATATAGAGTAATTACATGGACCAAAATGGAATTAATGGGCGTTACTCATTAGGCCAATAAAATTGAATGGAAATTAAATATATACTGTATGAAGTAATGATATGGTCCTGCGACGAAGGAGAAGCCATTTGTACGCATCCAACACAAGTACTTGTCTTGGAACAGAAGCTACTCTTTTCACTTTTTCATGATTGTGTAAGTATCTTATTTTACATATTCTATCATTGCTTGAGTTATTTATTTTATGTAGGAATTAAAGAGTGCGTATATGGTACATCATCATGTCGCATGTAACGGGAGCTACATTTCTTCTTGACTACTGGATTTATTTATTTGAGCAACGTTTTGTTTTTTGAATATTCAAACAAAATTAAGTTCGACTTTGTTACGAATTACACTTCGCCTTTGTTTACTTTACACTTCGGTTATGTTAGTTGGAAAACTTATAGCCGAGTAAAATCAAATTTCATTTTTGTTTGGTTTGGTAACTTTGGTTTTAAAGTTC